TATGTTGTGAGAATGCAAGGTGGACGCAACTGGCATAGGATCTTGACCAATGGCGAGCTGCAATATTAGCGTTGCCGACATTTTTGCAACTTACATATAATTGTGACTCACAGCACAGTTGCTCAGAACCTATTAAAATTTTCAGATGCTTTCATGAATAAGCAACCAGGCTTTTCCATATGACACGATCTGGTGTAAATTTTTATGAATAAACGAGCTGAAACCCAGAATTCCCTTGGCCGGCACTCACATACATTTTGGAAGAATTTGCAATAATCTTTTCAAAAAAATTGAGTGTACGAAAAGGAAAGTAAAAGAGAATGAAAGTAACAAAGAAACAAACGTAGATAGAAGTAGACAACTGGAGAAGAAACAAATGGATGACCTAACACACAGTTTTGATTCCACCACATTTAATTTAATGGGTGGGCCGATATTTGGTCTTTTATATTCCTTCAGATGTCCGGCGAGTGGGCAGGAACTAACGCACTTAAGATCATTCGAATGGATCCCCCCCCCCACCCTGCATCTAGGCTAGTCGCCGAAGCGCTGGGTTTTGAACAGATGTCTTTGTCATTTCGTCATTGGCCTGCAGAGCGGTCAAAGTGAAGTTACGTAGCAGTTGCTATGAATGTTATCCGTTGTCTATGACAGTGTTTCTCAAGGTATGGCACATATACCGGTGGTACGGGGAAAAAAAATTCAAGCGTATCTGAAACAAAATATATTACTAAAAGTTGTCCCGGTAGAGTTGGTACAGCGATTTGCTACGGGCTGAACAGTCGAGGTGTCAGAGTTCGAGTCCCGGTATGGGCAAGATATTTCTCTTCCCCGCGTTGTCCAAACCGGCTTTGGGGCCCGCTCAGCCTTCTGTCCGATGGGTATCGTGCGTTCCTTCCTAGGGGATAAAGCGGCCGGGGAGTGAAGCTGACCACTCACCTACAGCTAGTGCCGAGGCCAAAAATACATAATCTGTGCATCCACTCCCCCCATACTTCTTCATGGCGTGTGCTTAAATAGTTAAGCACAGGGACTTTACGATAATTTTTTATTCCAGACTTCTATATGCTGCCACACGAATTCGTAAGTTTCTGTACGTTTTTTTAGCTTACAAAGTATCCTTATTTTTGTGCGTACATAAAGCATGATCATTTTGTAGTTCGACCGCATGCGAGTTAAATGATTCTAATATAACTGGACCCACATAAGTCCAAGGTTACGAAATTGCACGGGAATATTTTAAGTTCGGGAAACCCTGATCTGTGGTATGTGTACTATTTGTATTTATTTTAATAGTAGTTTATTTGAAATTGCTGTCAGTAACTCAAGACTTTGTAACATAGAATTTTTGGATGAGGATGAATAAATAATTGAAAGTGATATGGAGGGAAGCGGTCATGACTTAATTTAAAGTATTACCTGACATTTATCGGAGGGACTGAGGAAAAACACGAAGACTTCAGTCAGGATAGTCAGACACATTCCAGACATAAGTCAGAAACGTGACCACTTGAGACATTGTTCTGGGTATATATGTATTTAATGCGCGCGGCGTTTTAATAATTCTAACAATAATTCGAACATCTGAAATTGTGGAATAAAATTTAGGAATAAGCTATACTTTCAAATGGTTGAGACATGAGACAAGTTTCTGCCAAATACCGTTGCTATGGAATAAACTGACAATTGTCACAGACCTTAAGAAAATAAAAACACTACCTACCTACCTACCTACCTACCTACCTATCTGCGATACAGCCCTGGGTGAGCCTTGGCCTCCCCTACAACCAATATCCACAACCAATGCCTGCTGCCATAGGAATGATGTACGTGAGGAAATAAAACTTGCTTATGGAACTGAAACCTTCTTGAGGAGCCGCAAAATCTGCAGCTACTCACGAATTTCCCAGCATTTTATGGAACTCGAAGGTTCATTACAGTATACACAAGAGTCCTCCACTGGTTCCTATCCTGAGACAGATCAGTCCAATCCATACCATACCATCTTATCTGTCTAAGATCGATTTTAATATTGTCCACCCTCCTACGAATAATCTACCATTTATAAATATTTAATGACGCGAGAGAACAAGAAGCTGTAGCAAATGTATTTTTCGTTTGAGGTTAACATAAGACAGAACTAAAGACAGGTGGCTACATTATACGAGCGTAGCCTGCGTGGATAAATTGTCTCAAATGTTTTATTTTCCTGTTTTTTATGGGGTCTGGGTAACTTAAAGTGAAATGGAATCATAATTGTTAATGGTTATGAGTATGAGGGGTGAGCCATAAAACTGGCCCTAGCATTGCGACCTTCAGTTGTCTATTGTGCTTTTCTTAACTGCAAAAAAAGAAATAGCTGCCTTTGCTTATTTTAAGTCACAATGAGATAAACAGTTGGGATAAACTTTCTGAGATCCAAACTTGAGATCTCCCACGCATAAAGCAGAGAAGATAACCCAGAATTACTTAAATGGCCCTAAGATTTCTTTTCCTCGCTCTTTTCGTTTTCTATGTGTCTGCATTTCCCACGTTATTGCGTATTTTTATTTCTTTCGTTTCTTTCATCTCTTAAGTTACTTTTTTTCGAACAGACTGTACGTGCAGACTTAATTTACGTCTGACGCAGCAAATTTGTGACCTGACCCGATGACTACTTAAGATCACATCTCGACTTGAAACAGCGAATGATAAACAGGCATACCAACATCTGCCAATTTCACTATAGTCGAGCCAGGGAAAGAATCTACACAGATTCCCCCCACCCGTATACATACCTCCCTCAGCGTGTGTTCCCCACTCCTACCAGTTGCCATCATCTACTGTCCATGCATCCTAGGTATGGTGTTGGAGATGGTCAGCTTACTTCCGCTACACGTGTTGAGTCATTCCCTGACCCTGCTATGGCATAGCTCATGGACCATCACTAATGTCAAGCAGAAGCAGGAACAGGAAAACTCAGGAAACATTAAACTGCTATGCAACGAGTAATGACAGTGGTAACTGTAAAGGGGGGAGGGGATTGCAAAGGAGGCCCCAACAATTTTCAGATTAGTATATTGCATTTATTTCTTAAATTAAAACTGACATTCGGAATGTTGATCTTGAAGTCATCTTTAAGAGTACAAGGACATGAATACAACGAAAAATGTCTTGGGACTGTCCTTCTGTTCGTGTTATCAGCATTCAAGTCATTTTTATTAAATTTAACATGGGAAACAAAGTTGTGATTTCATTTTGGATTAGTTAAATCCACTAACCCTCATGCATTTATGTAAGAACTAGTGAGCCGTGCACAAATCTGCACTGCAATTTAAGAAACGTGGATAGTTCTTGTTGCTCCTGGTGACTGCCTATGTTTGACGGCTCTAGGTTTTTGAGATCACACACATCTATTTTGTGGTCTCCAGAACACGTTTTGTTTTCGTGGTTACCATGAAAATTCATTTCCGTCGCGGTCCCAGTGCTCTTCCTACTAGTATGAAGGAAAGAAATGGGAAATGAGTTAAATGGGACTTGAAAACTCATGTCTGCAACAACAAAATTAACACATTTTATAAATTTTCCTTCTAAAAACGAGCATTTTCTGTTCACATTTATCCTTCACCATTATTGATGACAGACAGGTACTTGTGAAATAAGAATATGTACAGACACATTAAGTTTTATGCGTGGGGCATGCGGTAGCGTAGGTGGTTGAGGCACTATGCTACAAGCTGGAAGGTCGCGGGTTCAAGCTCCGATGAGGTGGATTTTTCCAATTTACCTAATCCTTCCAGCCGCACTATGGCCTCTAACAGAAATGAGTACC